ATAGTCTCAGTGTTTAAGGCTAAGTTAATTGTTTTGAAAAGAACTCTAGGGTTATTAGGAGCCTTTTTTATGAGATTAGCAAAGTATTCTGCTTTTGCGGCTTTAACTGCCTTCTGATATTTAATCATAGAGTCTTTTAAAATTTCATAATGCACCTGCAGTTTAGTTTTCTTCCATATTCTCTCCGCTTTTCTCCATAGCTGACGAATGCTACGGGTATCACTATTTAGCCACGGTTGTTTTTTGGCTTTAGGTTTTAAAATTTTCAAAGGAGCACACAGCTCCATGATTTCATTACAAGTGGAATTAAATAGTGACATTGATTCATTTATTTCCAACCCAAAAGGCAGAGATGGAAGTAGTGAATAAGCCTTCGTAAAATCACTGGCCGTTGAAGGATTCAAGCAACGAGCACGACGGTCAGGTGGTTTGCTATTTAAAAAGGGGCTGGGAATTTGAATATTAAAAACAACTGGATTGTGATCAGACAAATAACCCTCTTCAATGTCGATATTTGTGATAGATATCCCTAGAGATAGCACCAAATCTAGAGTATGTCCAAATTTATGCGTAGGCTTTGAGACAGATTGAGACAGATTAAAAGAATCAATAATATGCAGCAATAATTATGTTACATCATTGAGATTCAGACTCTAATTCTTGATGTCTGTGTGTTTAAAGTGGTTCAGATGTTCAGTGTGTATCAATGCTGGGTTTCCTTATAAACTACTCAGGGTTTCTCTTAGGGTTCTCTATCATACACCCGGCGCAATACAGGGCATGGTGCAATGCAATTGTTTTTTTTTAGTTTCAGCTATGTGCAAGAGTCAGTTTGACGTTTTCACCACTCTGTTTAAATAGCAAATGCATTTGCACTCATATGTGCGCGCATAAGCATCCTGGTCTAAAAAAGGAGGTGGGTTATGGCGCATTGCTGGCGCGTTGCTATTTTGAGGAACTAAATTGGACTGTTTAATAGACCAGCTGAAAAGAGGTCAGAAAGTCCAGCGCAGAGCGCGTTAGTTGGGCGCCTTGCTTAAACATTGCTTAAAACACACAGGATGCACAGCATACACAAATATCTTTACAAATGAAAAAGAATTAAAGGAATGAAATATTTAAAAAATTATTATTCTCTACATAAATATAAAAACCACTGCCTCCATGCCTTCATCATCTCAGGGGCTTTTTTCAGTTTATTCATGACAATTTGCTTTTGTATAATGTTATTATTATTACTATTATTAGTGGTGTTATTTATTATATGCATATTTATATTTGTTTTATTAAAAATAAGCTTAAATTTGCCCACCTGTCAGGTTTTGGACCATATGGGGCATAGCATGTGTATTTGGATATAACTCAGTTTTTTGAGCACACTTCGATATTATTGTTCATTTATTCATTTGCTGGAAATTAGAACTGAATTTAAAAATAGTTTTGAAACAAATCTTTGCGCTAAACCAACAAAATTAATTATGTAGGCTAATGAATGTCTGTGCTTACATCACATTTCCTTATTCACGAGAATGAAAGTGAAGGTAAAAAACTAGGAGGCTCATTTCTCATTCTCACACTGCAGATGCTTTGTTTTTTTTGCTAGTGAGGCGTTCACTTTTTCCACTTACAAAATCCGGCATGTAAATAACAAATGCGCTATGGTGCGACGCAACTGACTCTTAAAGGGAATGGGAAATGAGACTCTGATTGGTTTATTCTCAAAACACACATATAACTCATTAAGAGAATAAGCTCAACCCTGTTAAACCATGCAACACAGCGCAAAGCGGATTTTTTCGTCATTAAAACAGCAAAAGTAAATTCTGACAGACCCTAAATGCTTTTGCGGCCTACGCTTTGGACTTTGCGCCTGGATCATCAAAATAGAGCCCCAACAGTCTTAAACCCATGGGTGTTATTAAACTACTTTTGTTGTTTCATAATGTATTGTATATTTTCCTGAAAAACACAAACTCACCAGTAACGTTTGCCATTTTCAACAACTTTTTTTTTTTTTTGATAATTTTTTTGACAATAATTTTCATAAGACCCTTGAAAGAAATCACTGATTCTAAACATGCCTAAGGATAACTAAAATGCTTACCCTGAATAGACTCTTTTGGATTAATGATTATTTTTTTTACCCATCAAAAGTGCTCTTTTTATACATTCATCCTCCCTTTTACACCTTTCTCCTGGAGGTATTCTCTATGGCATGTGATCCATCTGCAGGCCCTGCCGCTTGGAGCAGAGAGAGAGATTGCAACACATCCCTGAATGTTGGTACACTCGCTTGTACAAATAAGCTTAATGCTGTCATGCCTGATGCATGACCTGCCTACACTGATAAAAGGATAGAAGAGTAAGATTGGGAAGTATTGGGGGTGGGTAGCGGGGGTGTTGGGGGTGTTGACACTAATGCCCTAATGGCCCAGTGTAATAGCAATGGTTATTGAGCAGATGATGGCGTTGTTGTAAACGAACATGGCTGCAGCCAAGGGAAATAGACTAACAGGTGCTGATGCTACATGCGCAGCTCCAAGGAAAGATCTATTCATCTTCGCCTGCCAAGACAACAACCACTGGGACTCCCAGGCTCATAGCAAGGGACAAGTTGCTTACATTATTTGTTTGCTGCATGCAAATAAAACATACTCACTTTGTCAACTCCAAATATACATTATTTTTTATTTTACTGTTGAACAAAATGGACTGCATGAAGTGGAATATTTTATGATTACCATTTTCCATCATAGCACACGTGCATGTGTGTCCCAATTTTGCAGCTATCTTAATATTAATTTGTGCTGTCTTCTTATCTCACCAGTTTTTCTAGGCCGTGGCCTGCACCATTAAAATTCATCCATGCATGAAAAGTGCCTGTTTACACGCCAATTTCACAAAGCTCAGGGATTTGCAACAGCATTTAACATTATCAAACGCACACTAATAAATCATACTCTCTTTTCTCAAGTCAGTATCTGAAGCGCATTGTAAAAAAAAGCTGAGAAAAGCTGACAAGAGGCATTAAAAGATGGCGAGCAAGAGGGAGTGGGAATTTTAGAGAGTAATAATAATAATGTGTGTGTGGGGAGTCAATTGGCATGTGTAATTCAGCACAGCCTTTTCATCTTAGAGTAAGATACTCCAGACAGATAAGGTGTTTAATCCTCTGGCAGATCAAAAAAAAATTTGCCAATTAATGGGTCTTTTCCCGCAGCCAGATAGGCTCCACATTCCCACTCAGTCTACGTTTATCTCTCCCAACACAGGGAGGAGCAGTGAGCAGCTTAAAAGTGCTATTCTTACCCCGAAAACATACAAGGACAGAGACCACCCCACAACGCCATCATCAGTCAAAACCATTAAGATGGAGGGGAAATCGGAGACAGACAATCAGTAGAAAATCGACAAAATCAGCATAAAACGAGAGGCAAAAAATAAGCATTAGGTATAAAAATGAAACTTGTCTCCATAGTTAATTATTAGAAAAAGTACATCACTTAAATTTAGTATTTAATCAACTGATAATAAATGCAACAAGGACACTTGCTGGATAATTTACTCGCTGAATACAACTCAGATGATCTAGACTTCTGAGGTTGAACATAGGAAAATCATTCATGCTTTGTATCTTATTGGACTCCCTAGTTACCATTAAAGAGCCCTTATGAGCTAGACCCCTACCGAGAAAGACACAAAAAGAAACACTGCGAGAGAACCAAGCACCTGTAGTGGGAGTGAATTGCAAGGAAATAAGTCAAAAGAAAAATAATAATGAAAAAAAAAAAAAGAATCTGTATAAATTGACACCCAACTGATTTATGCTGACTGTGTGGAGCAGATAAGTGTGGTAAGTTGCAGAGATTTGATGTTTATCTTATCAAGTGTGCAAAAGCTGTGCTGATAAAAGAGCACCATGGTGCTTGCATTTTTGCAAAGCTGAAAAAACTGTACACCCACAAGACAAAAAAAAAAAAAAATTATATATATATTTCTATCTAAAATTAGACTGAGAGTTGGGGTTTGGGGGGGGGGGGGGGGGGGGGCACACAAATACAAAACAAAACCACTGTGATATTTTAATGAACAACATAACATAAAGCTGACAGCTAATAAACCATGTAGGCTAGTAATATTAACAGATATCATTAAAATAATATTAAATGCAAACAAAAAATGTATTAAGTAATAATATTAATATTAATAATGGAATATTGTTGTTACAATAAAAATGTTACAAGGCTTGTGGAATATGGAGAAGAGGGCAATTTTCCATTGATATGAGTATATTTACTCTCAATTCAAATTTGTTTATGACACCTCTGGACCATTGAAGTGCAAAAAGCTAAATAAAGACATTTTTATTATTGAATGAAAGAAAAAGAAAGAAAGAAAGAAAGAAAGAGAAAGAAAGAAAGAAAAAAAAGAAAGAAAGAAAGAAAGAAAGACAGAAAGAAAGAAAGAAAGAAAGAAAGAAAGAAAGGCAATAAGTTGTCAAGATCTTCAAGCACTGAGCACAAGCCTTCAAATGTGGGAGGCAGGCCATTCCAACAGGAGGCTTTCAATTATAGATAGGGGTTGGCATGACCGCTATGGATTGCCATGTCAGAGTAGGGATAGACAGCAGTGGAGATCTGGGAATCTATCTATCAGTGTGCCTTTGGGGATGGTGTGTGTTTCTGTGAATGTGTGTGCACTTGTGGTGATGATAGAAGGAAAGAGCAGGTAAAAGAATGGCTGTGTGTATGCGATGTCCAGAAAGAAGTGGTTAAAGGGAGCAAAGCGCATTTTCACAGGAAGTGTGCTTTCATGTCCTTTCACTGTCTTCTTAAGCTTTAAAGTGGCTGTGACAAATGGGATGTCTGAAGCGAAGTAGAAGATTTTAAGGTGTTTGTGAGTATGTGTGCATTTTCCACCTACAAGAGCCTTATCATGAATGATACTATTAACAGACTTAACATTTTCATAGATAAAACATAAATGTGGTGTGCACTCACATGCACAAGCTGCTCTTGGGTGTCAAACTCTCTGCAGCAACCATCCCAGTGACAATTAGTCTCATACACAACCTCTGGCTCCTGCTTGCCCTCCTCTTTATCGCCCTCTTCCTTCACCAGAGTCATTCCATTCATTTGCTCCTGCAAAAACACACGCAGCATTGGTTTTGGGAGGCATTGTGCATCTGCATCTGATTAAAAGAAAAACAATTTCCTTCTGAGGCTGTGGAGATTAATGGGGCTTATCACATCTAAAGCAGTTCCACAACAGGAGGCCAAATCAAACAAAAATAAATCGCTTTAGAGTATGTCACATAATTGGTGCTAAGCTTTGTTTCTGTTTTTTATTTATTTACTTATTTATTTATTGACTGAATTATTGACTGATGTGTGTTTGTGTTTATCTCTACTTATGCCTATGCACATTTGAAAATGTGCATACCTGCATGCTAACGGCTCTGGGGCTGGGTGGTTCTTCTTCAGGTTTGAGTTTGGACCTTTTATGGTTCATGGGGTCCCCTGTGCTGCTCACAGCCGACTCACTTGTGGGTTTACTCTGAAATAAAATAAAAACAGATTATTAAAACATGCACTATAATAGTGTAATAATCATCCTTATAAATGTAGGTCAAATTTAGTATGTTCAAGAGTAAGTACTTTAATGGACTTTATTTCTAAATTGCTTCATACAATACTACAGGGAAGTGCAAAACAACATTACAAAGAGTGAAACACTTTTACAAAGCTTAAGAAAAATTTACATTTTGGAAAACATTTTTACCTATCTTAAGATAGGCTATTTAAAGAGGAGCTAAAGTGCAGGACACTTTGGGATTCAGGTGTGTGTTTAAACAGAAAATACACTTAATCATATGTAAACATGTCTGTCCTGCGTGTTTTATTTTAAACACAACTAATATTCTCTTAAATGAGTACAAACGGTTACTAAAAACATTAAATGATTTTATTATAGATTTGTGTATTGTTACAGGGACGCCTCTGTTATCAAACTAAACAAAACAAGAGATTCATGTGCTGCTTTTCACTTGTTTGATAACAGAGGTGTCACTTTAAATGGCGTGTACAAAAGCTGATCTGGGATCAGTTTATCCCTCTCAAGGCAGGCGTTGCAGATTTGCAACAGTTAAAAATTAACTACCTTATTACTCCAGATACATATTTTATTAGATTTTTTACTCAGACGTACCACTGCAGGACTTGGTTGTCCATTAGCAACAAACAGTTTTCCCACTTGCTCACCAGATGACACAAAAGACAAAAATTGTTTCTTGGAGGACCACATGACAAAGGCCCCGTTTACACTAGTGCGTTTTAATTTGAAAACGCATAAGTTTTGCTACGGTTACGCCATCTGGCCACACTACGCCGGAGTTCTCGAGCGCCGAAAACTGAGCTTTTTGAAAACGCTGGAAAGGCCGTTTTCATTCTAAAACGCTGCTGCTCCGTCTCAGTGTGGATGATGGAAAACGGAGACATCTGAAAACGGAGGCGGGGCTGCCGACGTTCGCCTATCTGATTGGGGCTTTTCCTCAATATTAAGTAGCCCACACACAGTTCAGTCTCGCATCATCTTCTTGTAAGTTAAGACTTCGCAAGTTTGATCAAGGCTGCAGTCTCCCCCTTCTCAGTTTGATATGGAAAACATACCGAGGACACGGGTAAATCTTCAAAGGGAACAGTGTACTTTATAACTTCATTCACATCACCCTGGTTGTTTCACTTTCTCAACAATAAAATGTAAACATGATTTAAGGAACTGCCTATTTTCTTTTTAATATTAGCAACTTAACAGACAGCAGAAATGTTGAGGCGGCATATATGAGCGTCATCTTCACTGTGTGGATATTTATAACAAAACGGAGCCTATAACAACTGCCTCCTTTCAATTTCAGTGAAAATACAAAACGCACCCTCTCTTTTGTTGAATATCAGTTTTAATAATCGATAATTTTAAAAGTATAACATACAATAAGTTTATACATTGTAGGAAATAAAGGCAAGCGATCAGTCAATGTACCTGGATTAATCATTAACTTATCTTTGCGCTTAACCAAAACATTTTACCCGTGAACAAGTAACTTAATAGATTCTTGATGAGCAGTCCGACAAGCAGAGCTCTCATCTGGGTAGAAATGCTGGAGCGCTTGCCCGAGAGTGTGTGTGTGGTCACGTGATGTGCGTTTTCAGCGTTTTGGTGTGGACGGAGAGCTGTTCAGAAACGCTGGGTAAAACGCGAGTGTGGACGCGGATCGTTTTCATTCTACAACGCCGTTTTAAAACTAAAACGCACTAGTGTAAACGGGGCCAAAGTGACTTGGCACCATTACCTACTCAATGAAGATTTGAGATATTGGATTTGGATCCCATATTGTTTTTGTTGTTGTTCTGCCACTGAAAAGCAATTTGTTACATTGTTTGAAAAGTTGTATATAAAAAGTTATTGTTCATATCATATTAAGTCGTCAGTGTCTAATTACCACACTGGGCCAATGTTGCAAATCTGCAACATCCCAGAATGCCTTGCATGTGAAGGTCTCTCTAAAAAAGTCAGGATACTATTGTACTACCCCATAAGATAATTTTCCCCAAATATCAGATTTTTCCTGTTAATTTGAGCCTTTGAGGGTTATCATATGGAGCGGATCCACATGCATTCACTAATAAAGAAGTTTCATATTCAAGGTGATTGATGCACAGCTTAAATGGAAGAAAGTGAATGCAGACATTTTTATATTCATTTCAACATGCGTTCAAGATTAGAAATACACGAGAAAAATTGAGAAATACTTAATGATAGGATAATAGCGGGATAGAATGGTAAAATAACGGAGAATCCTGGCAAAACGGGAGGGTTGACGTATGAAGTAAACAGTAAGTGTTTGTGGAAAAACAGTTTTGCGAGATAACGCAAAACATCTTTGCGAGGGAACGCAACACATCTTTGCAAGGGAACGCAAAACAACTTCGTGAGATAACACAAAACATCTTTGCGAGGGACTGCAAAAACTAAAAAAATATATATTTACCTAACACTGTTTTTTTCTCCCACTCAGTTTTTTTTCTTCAACACATTTTTCCCCACCATCACATCCCGTCCAGATCTCCGTAACAATGTAATTCATTGGAATAAGACAGTAAATAAAATAAAATGTATTTATTTATTTTAGTTAAGTGCTCACTTCTGTTCTTTGTAAAAATAAGTGGAAACATCAAGGGGCAGATCCAGTGGCAGTCTTGCAAGTATCAGATATTTGATTTAATATGAGCTTCAATTGGTTGCCAGGATAGCGAGATGAAAAAAGATGTGTGACACTGAACCATCTGGATTTTTTGAAGACCAAGAAGCTGCATTTTTGATTATTTGAAGAGGTTTGACATTGGATGATGGAAGTCTAACTAGGAGAGATTGGTCTAATCTAGAAATGTCTAGAAAGGTGCTTGCCCCAGAAGTTGGCTAATTTTCCTGTGAGGAAGAACCGATTTTTCTAACATTATAAAGTTCAAGTTTATCATATTTTTTTTCCCAATGTGAGCTTTGAATGACAATTGGTCTATAAAAATCAACCCAAGAATTGAAAGGAATATTCCTAGATTACCCCAGCTGTATCATCAAATTATGATGTATAATCTGTATTGCAATGAGAAAAGAAGTTATGTTTTAGCCAGATTGAGCTGCAGGTGATGATCTTTCATTCATGCTGTGTAAGATCTATCGAGTTAGGCCCAATCCCAATTCTACCTCTTAGCCCTTCTTCTAACCCCTTGACCCAATTCTTTATATCTTGAAGGCGTAGAGCTAAGGGAAAGTGCCAGAAAGCCTTAAAATGGAGATTTTTCAGGACCACACTCAAAACCTAGGGGTAAAAAAAATTCCCAGAATGCACCATCTACAACGTGAGCATGGCTGCACATAGAAGTAAGGAGATGCACAAATTAGTATTTTATTGTCATTATTACATATTTTTACAACAAACAATAATATGTTTAATACAATTATTACCACGTTTGTTTTTTACCGTGATGCTTTAAAAAACAACAAAATTGCTAAATTACGCAATCTATAATCCCTAATACGAACTTCTGTATAGTAGTCCCACAGTTTTCTGTCACTAGATGACACTCGAATACCCTCTCAGAAAATAATGAAAAATAAATTACCTTTTTACAATGTCTGTTATTATGTTAATGTTGTTTTTGTGTTTAGATAAATATGGCCAGGGTGTAAATGCAGAGTACAGTTGTGGTGTTATTGCCACAGTATATCATTATGATAACATAATATATATGCCTTTAGTGATTTCCTGAAGATAAATACCAAAAAAATACTGCACCTGGAACTACAGCAGTCGCGACTGTCAATCACATATGAAGCAAGAGACTGCGTATGATGACATGTGCAGATGATGTAGGGGTGTCCTATTTCTTAGGGGTAAATTTTGAAGCCCTTCACCTTCACACTCTGTTTCAAGGGCCAAGGGTAAGAGGAAGGGGTAGGAGTGCAAAAATCGAATTTGGATTGGGCCTTATTGTTAGATCATCTAGATGAAATAAAAGATGGATCTGTGTGTGATCACCATAGCAATGGTAAGAAAAGCTAAGCTGGGATTGAAGTGTAAATGGAGAAGAGAAGATTTTCAGTGAAATTGTCATTGTTGAAGTCTGGTTCTTTCTGATGTTTTTCAAGGAGGGAGACTGGTCTGTAGTTTTCTGTTAGTGAGGTGTTAATTAATGATTTCTTAAGAAGTTGTGTTACCCGAGCCTGCTTGAAAGTTTTGGGAAGATGCCAGTGCAGAGGGTATGAGAGACTACTGGAAGAATAGCTGAAGTAATTTCCTGTAGAAAGCAATATAAAATTAAGTCTAGGGAGCAGGTAAGCTGCCCTAAAAGGAGAAGTTTGGAAACCTTGGGTAACGGGGAGAAAACGTTGAGAGTGTCTCTGCCGTGGGAGTGGGTGAAATAAATGTCACAAAGAGCTTGTCTGTGTATGACATGAAGTAGATTTTTTTGCAGTATTCCTGGTGTCTCGCTGCTTGCTACTTCAGCAGCTTCTAAACTCAAAGGCCAGACACTCAAAGACTAGGTTCACTCACACTCCTGTGGCTTCAGTGACTGTCATGGTCACCAGCCAGTGTCAACACCCAGAATGACCTCCTGCACAGTGCCAATGCTAAAGTTGGCCAACAGTTCACAGTATTTGTACAAGATGACCACCAGTCTAGACTCTCCACTATTTGTGCCTGGGTTGCACACTGCTCTTTGGATCTAGCTGCTCCAGAGCCTGTTCCTGTGCCTGTCTGTGTCCGAGTACATGACTTTGATCCAGAGCCACCTACAATATGTGACTGTGATTGCAGGATCAACAATAACATTTTGAACTGAACTGACCTGAATCAATAATAAACTATAAGTAAGTCATAATGACCACAGAATAAGTGAGATAGTCAATGGCTTGCCATGCATTAAAATATTTTAAATGCATAACATTGACAATATGGAGCAGAGTTGCATTTAAAATTCCATGGTCATTTGCTAATTAATGGACAAGTTAAAATTAGTTTTGCTTTTTGTAGTGTACTTTTCGGCTGATGTTTAGTCAGTTATGACATCTAGCTATGGGTTCTCATCCCTCATTGAATCAGCAGTGACAGGCAGACAGAAAGGGAGTGAGAGAGCAATAGAGATCATGGTCTTTTTTTCTTGCAGGGCACGAAAGCATTAAGGGTGTGTCAGAATTCACTTCTGCTAATGTATGGACAGAAAAATCCACTTTGCACCACGGCGCATGGTCTAAAAGGGTTATTCACATTCACATGTAAAGTAAGTGTAAGTGGAAAAACTGAGCATTTCACTAGCAAGAAAACAGTTAAGCAGAGCATTTACAGCGTGAGAATGAGAGATAAGCCTCCTCATTATCTACTTTCACTTTCGGGAATCCTTTAATATGGTGGGCATATCCTTTATTTTCACATTCCAATGTTGACAGGTATAGTGTACACTCCCTCAAAATAACACTTTTTAACCCATTATTATAAAAAAATCTGAATTGTGTTTTGAACTGAACCTAAACTGGCACACTCAGAAGAACCATAATATTAAATCTTAAAAAAGGGGTAAACTAAGTAAAGAGTAAAAAATATTAAAGCCCATTAAACACTATAAACATGAAACAAAACATTAATTCACAGGAAAAAGAATACAGCATATTCCAAAAATGTAAACTGCAGTAAAATACGTATTCACTCATTAAACTTCCGTTTTGTCCCTGATTTATTAGGGGTCACCAAAGAAAAATGAACCGCTAATTACTCTGGCATATGTTTTAGCACTGAGAAAGACCCATACAAGCTCTGAGTCACACCCGTAAACTACACTACCACTCTTAAATGCCATTCACCCCCCCCCCCCCCCTCATTATTCATTCCAAGTCCCCCTCATCCCATCACTCCCCCTCAAACCACCATACAATAAAATACAATGACACCATTGTATTTTGCAGCTGCTTATAATCAGAGATGGGCAAAATAAAAGCCCAAATACCTCAGTTTTAAGTGTATTAAAATGAACTACAAAATACAGCAACTACAACATGTACCAAAGTAAAATACAGCATTTTTGTATTTTAAAAATACCTACAAATATTAAAAAAAAAAAGCATGAAATTTCTTCGCAAACTTCCTATTGATAGGCCTTTTCAGTCAATCCCTTCACCATTAAACTGACTTGACTAGTGAAGTAAACAATGTTTATTAGCAAAGAGCTTTACTTTTACCAGCTTTTCTGCCACCTCGTTCACATTTACAGTGACTGTACATGAGTAGGTATTCATTTAAAAAAAAAAATGTATTATAGATTTTGTCCAAATTTCATACAGAAAGTCCTGTCCAGGAGATGATCTCCAACAATTTAATGCAGATCTGTCGATTGTACATACTGCCATTATATATTACTGGTCTAAGCATTGCTGCTCAATATGCTACTGTATATTCAATTATTGTTGACTTGCTCCTGAATATACCCCAGTCATGTGTCTGTTACTTTTTGATATAAGATGCATAATTTCCACCCATACTCTAAGCACTGGCCACTTGCAATTAAATCTTTTGATTTCAAGTCTATGCAAATAAATGAGAAAACACCAATCAGTGGCCACATTCTTATGATGTCATCATATAGACTTCCTACAAAGTATTTTACTTTAGTTTGAAACGTCAAAAAAAAATAAATAAATAAATAAAAATACAAGACACTAAAGTATTTTGATACAAAATATTATTCCTTTCCATAACCTTATCAAATACAAATTACAAAATACTATTTTGTGTTTGAAATATGTTTTATAAATACTGGCAATCCCTGCTTACAACACAATAATATCAATCTCCATAGCTGACCATGATTAATTCCCATTTTTCCTGTTTATCACTGTGAAACTAACACAATCTGTACTGTAAAAAGTGACATACAAATAAAGGTTACTTTAGTGGACTTCATGCTGTATCATACAAGTGCAAACCTTGTAAATCACATATGTATATAATAACATAACAAGTTGAGTATGGCTTTCAGCATTTTTTAAGCTTGTATATGAATAGTAATGCATTTTTATATTCTTAGGACAAAGATATTAATATATTGGAAGCTAGACGAAAAGATTCACAAAAGTTTAAAAATAAAATAAATGTCTGTCACTTGGAGCAATGCTTGTATCTTCTGTTTTTTTTTTTTAATATAATTCCTTTACAACCATATGGTGAGACAAATATCCCACATTGCCCTTCTATTAAAGAGGCTGTTGGGGTCAGGCAGGGGAAATGGATGACACTGTGCTGGGACAGAGTAGTGAGGTTATAATGACTTAAAAGGAGAGAGTGGCTTTGGGAAAATCTCTGGAAAACTCATTTGAAATAGGGATCAATACAAAGACAGATAAACAAAAAGACACTATACCGTTTTTAATCGAGTGAACACAGTATAAATGGCATGCTTGAAGCAAACAGAAAAAAAACACTTTTATGCTCATCCTTCAAAGGGAATGTATCTGTGTCTGATTAATGGTGGAGGTGGCAAGATTTCTTGCTGCTAACAAGCGAGGTGTTATTTCTCAAAGGTGCCTTCTGGGCAAGCTCTCCACATCGAGGCAACACTGACTATGTGCACCCAAGGGAAAATCTCCCATGAGGTCTGTCTGCGAGGGAGGGCTACCAACATGCAAACTTTCTCTGTTGTTTATATATGCTACTGTGTTGGTGGTGCATTTTTATGTGCCACACAGTAATAAACAGAGGTAGTTTTTGTATTGATAGGCACTGAAAAAATTCAATCTTTGAGGAAGAAAATCTAAATTAGTTTTGTCTTTTTTAATTGCATTTTTATTTTTTATTTTTACCTGTGAGTCATTGGAGACTATTGAACGTTCTGTTGGTGCCAGGCTGGAGGTTTGGATGGCAGGAACAGGTCTCTGGGTTGAAAAAGCAGGTGCTGAGTGCATGAGTGGTGGACTGTGTCCAAATGCAGATCCTACGATGCCTGGTTGTCGACTGATTAGCTGCTGATGCATCTGCAGTGCTACAGGTGTTGGAGGATATGCAAAACTCAAAGCAGGACTGTTAGACGAACAGAGAAAGAGAAAAAAAAAAACAGCTTCAGAAAAGAAAGATTTAAATGAGAGAACTGAAAATTTGTCAAATCTGATGTCAAATATTTAACGTCATACATTAAAAACTCATTTTATTTTTGTTATAGTAATATTTTTACTTAATCTGTACAATAGATTGTCATTCAAAATGTTTAATTATTTAAAAGGCTGGGCTGATGCGGTGGCGCCATGGTAGCGCTGTCCCCTCACAGCAAGAAGGTTGCGGGTTCGAGCCTCAGCTGAGTCAGGTGGCATGTTCTCCCTGTGTTCATGTGGGGGTGCTCCGGTTTTCCCCACAAGTCCAAAGACATGCGCTATAGGTGAATTGGGTAGGCTAAATTGTCCGTAGTGTATGTGCATAAAACATGTGCTGGATAAATTGGCGGTTCATTCCGCTGTAGCAACCCCGGAATAATAAAGAGACTAAGCCGAAAAGAAAATGAATGAATTTAAAATGCTGATAAACTGATAAATACACACAATGTATATTTTATGCCATAACCATAAAATGATTTTAACATGCTGTTTTGGTCCTTTATAAACATCTCTTATTTTCAATGTTAAAAACTATTTTGCTGCTTAATATTTTAATAATTTTGGAAATCATTACATTTTGTACAGGATTTATTTTAAGTAAATGTTTACATTGTAGCACAATATAAGTTACAAGGCTTTACCACTAACCTAATGGATCATGAATTAAAAAAAAAAAAGCCTTACAAAATGTTTTACTCTGAAGAATGAGGAAAAGGCAAAACGAAATTAGTCAAATTGCAATGAAAACAAAACAAAAAGTGGCATAAACTCATTCATTTTTCTTCGACTTAGTCCCTTTATTCATCAGGGGTCACCACAGTTAAATGAACTGCCAACTAATCTAGAAAATGTTTCACATAGCGGATGCCTATCCAGCTGCAACCCAGTACTGGGAAACATCTACTGTATACACACTAATTCACACACATATACTATGGCCAATTTAGTTTGTTCAGTTCACTTGTACTGCATGTCTTTGGACTGAGGTGGAAACCAGAGCACCAGGAGGAAACCCATGCCAACACAAGGGGTACATGCAAACTCTACACAGAAATGCCAACTGACCCAGCTGGGAGTCGAATTATCGACCTTCTTGATTTGAGGCGAGTTTATGCTGTGTGGCCAGTGACAAACTTATTTAAACAAAGTAAAAACATAACAAATACAAAAAAAAAATATTGGAACACAATGAGGGATCTAAATACACAAGGATAATGAACTCAAAAACAAAGAGGTCTGTGTTAATTAATCACGTATCATGACAAGACCCAAACAGTTACCCACAACAACTTAAACATGAACAATGACAAACATACTGGTTATGATTATTATTAATAGTCCAACATTTATAAATGAAATGTATTACACTGGTAATTTTTAATAAATTATTACACATAAAACTACAACACATCTAAATCTTTCAAGAAAAGCTTATGAGTTCACGCAATGAAACTAAAACCAGACTTTCAAAGATAACCTCCTCTTCTATAGACCCTAGTGTCTCTTAATGATATGCCCTGGTGCTCAATAACAGCTATTCTCTGGGGGGTTCCATTCATCGTGGGATATGCTCGTCTCTCCATGCTAGTTCATATGTCACTGGTCTTATTACAGGTAGAGAGGAAATCAATGTAGCCAGACACTCTATGGACGATGTGGTTGATGTTGCTGTCTCATCACTCATCGGGCCTGGATCCCTGCCTGCCAGCTTTGTCTCCACATTTGCACAAATGTTATGACTGATTAGCTTACAATATCAATTTACTGATTAATTGTGCTTGATGTGGGAAAGAGATTTATTTCTGTAATATTTTCTCACTCTGAGAACCCCAAACTGGGCAACATCACTTCCTAAACGTGCCGGATGTGAAATGTTAAAACAGGAGATACATCACCAAGGACACTAGCACTAGACTCTAGTCTCTCATATTCCTCTCTCCATTGTAGATCTATCCTCCATTTTGATAGTGTTATTAAGCAGTTTAAATTTTAAAACATGGAGTCGGACATGCTGAGACATTGGCAAAACTTTGTTTATTATCTTATTAACTCATGATTCCCTTCTTTATCAGGGGAGACCACAGTTCATTAAACCGCCAATTACTCTGGCACTCAGAGTGATGCAAACCCCAGTGCTGGTAAGATCTCTCTTATTCACACACACTACTGTTTTTTTTTCTTTATCTAATTCACCTAAAGAACCCAGAAAAAAGCACACAACCAAGCTGAGAACGGGCAAACTCTGCACAAAAATGCCTTATGGCTCAGGAGGGACTTGAACCAAGGAAGCTGTGAGGCGACAGAGTTGACATTCTGCCCCCATTAAATATCTGTTGTAGTACTAACAGAAGAGGGCAAGCTGAACTTGTAATTGAAAGGTTGTAGGTTCGATTCCCGGTCCTGGCAGAAATTGCAGATGGGAAGAAAATTAACCTCACTCTTTTAATGTTTGATAGCCAGCTGAGGTGCCCCTGAGCAAGGCACCTAACCCCTAATTGCTCCTCGAAGGCTGGTAGCAACGGCTGCCCACTGCTCTTACTTTTCAATAATGTCACTTAAATTTTTATTCAGAATGGCATGGTGGCTTAGTGGTTAGCATGCAAGCAAGAAGGTCACTGGTTTGAGTAGTGGCTGGGCCAATAGGCTTTTTTTCATATTCTTCTCATTTCTAATGGGTTTCTACCAGGTTTTTCTGTTTCCCACACAGTCCAAAAACATGCAATATAGGTGAATTGGATAAAATAATTTGTGTAAATGGGAGAGTGTGGGGAAGGGGGAGGGGGGTCTCAGAACTGACAGTTGATACCAGCATCTTCCAGTAAAACCAACCCAGGCTCATTCTGAAAAAGTACCCCATATACATTTCTGGAGAGAGTAAATACATCTCAGGAGCTATCTTTTTTTTTTTTTTTTGCAATTTTTGTTTTCGTGAATCCGCCAGAGGCCGCTGTGTACACTTTTTCAGATCTCAAATTTATCTTGCGAGTGGCATTCGCGCCTGCTGCTCTCACATAAATCCACCAGAGGCAGTTGTTGACTAACTAACTGACAGACTGACTGATCAACCAACCAATCTGACCATCTTTACCAGACTCGAACTCCTTTGTCGTGGTCAACTCCGCTTTGCATCTAAATTTATTGTAGGATTCAAAGTAGGAAAAAAATACAGTGTCCACAGAAATATTGAACTGCATATTAAACAACAACAAAAAAAATAATAGAGAAATTAATAAATAAATGAGTGAATAAATAAATAAATAAATAAATAAGTAAACAAATAAATAAATAAAACATATTACTGATGTTTGTACCAAATGTTTGCAGTCCAGCTGGCTAATTCCCATCTGAATATCTCACTGATGTGACAAGTGCTTCATTGTCCATTTAAAGTTTGCCTGAACTCCTGTTATGAACTGACCCAACTAACTGAGAGCCATATAAGTCAGACATGAATGATTCAGCAGCTTCAACCAATAAAATCCATACTTAGGCTAAAGGACAGCCCTCAGCTTAAGAATTAATTTTACAAAAGACAAAGTAATTTTTTTCCACAACATTTTCCACAACAGATCCTCTCTCTTTCCCATTAAAGCTTGTGCTACCATCCTCAGTACGGACTTCCTTCCCCTACCCCCTCTTCATGACCCTTTCATTTGTCATTCCCCCTTCCTCTCCTCGTTTCCAGAGTGAGCGATTGTGTGGCGGCAGTGTTAGGGTAAAGCTCTCCTCCGCTGATGGAGAGAACATTAATCAGGTGATGCATATCAGACAGACGAGTATGAGGGAGGAGGGGAGGAATATGTTCACACGTTTCCTCCTAATAGCGCTCTCTATGTTCCCTCGTTTATATCCCCATCCAGAGTTCATTCATCACTTTACTGGATGTGAATTGTCCACTTTCAGTACAGGATGCTTTTCCTCTCCATTTCTTTCTCAGAAACTCACACACATTTTTTTTTTTGCCTCTAGTCTGTACTTATTTTCATACTTGCTACAGGTTCACAGTTTGGATCAACATCAATGAAAATAAATAAAGAATTTAGGGTAAATCACCTATCAAGAAGTGTTGGGGAGTGACTAGTTACATGTAACAGTGTTAAGTAATTTCATTACAAAATAAATGTAACAGTAATTCGTTACAGTTACTGAGAAAAAATGTGTAACTACAGTTATTGGTGAAAATGTTAAAGATTACCAGTGATGAAAAGAATACTTATAAATCACACTCAAGTAAAAGTACCCTTACTTCCTTAAAAATGTAGTGCAAGTAAAGTAAAAGTATTTGTTGTAAATATTACTCAAAGTATGAGTAAAAAGTAGACCTTTCAAAAATACTCAAGATTAGTGAGTAGTGAGTATTACACTGTTAAAAGCTGATGCGTTACATGTAATTTGTGCATGGGTGTGTAAATGTAACATTCTGTAGTGCACCTAGTTATTGCCCAGCAGGCATATAGCATCATAAGACGTTAATATTAGGTTAGATTTAGGTTGTGATGTAGGGCGACCAAAATTCAACGTCTAGCCAGCATCTAAGGACAATGTTATTTGATGTCCAATAACGACATCAAATGACGTCGATATTTAATCGATTTTAGGTTTTTAGAAAGTGACAAATATCCAACATTGAGCCCACATCTTAAATCAACATCATATTGACGTCAGATACTGAAACTTATTCATCAGGTATGGTAACCAAAATCCAACGTCTGATAGACGTCATAGTGGTAATGTCCACACAACGTCAAGCTGTAACATCATTAGATGTGGAGGTTGGACATTAACGTTGGCCTGACGTTGAGTTCTAACATCAACTTGGTTTCCAAAATGCAACGTCCCCATGACGTTAGGGTACAACGTCAATCTGACGTCATGTTGACGTCTTTTGCCAGCTGGTTGTTTAAGGCCATTTCAGTCATCAAACAGTAGACATCTGTCATCTTCTCATCAGTGACCAACAGTCTTTGGGTCATGCGTGTAAAGATTTTGGACATCTTCTTGGACACTTTTAACGCTTCCAAACAGTTTGCTGCAATTATAAAGCTCCCATGTCTTGAGATATTTCATTATGATGCGATTTACCTTTTATGTGCGATTTGATTGAACAGGAGTCACAGGACTGATTTTTCTAATCCCCGTAGACATTAAAAAAAGTAGTGACTGCAGGTTGAAGGAAAGTATGGGATTTTGGAAAAATGGGATTTTGGCATCTCTTTAGGAGTTCATAATTGGTTTATAAGTGAAGACCGGGGGTTTGGGGGGAGGGGTGTTGGGTGTTGCAAAACCGCGCAAAATTTCACTACCCGCCTATGTAATTTTTTACCAGCACAATTAAATTAAAAAACCGCCTAGTCTGGCAACACTGGAGAGAAAGATGATTTGTTCTTCTTTCTGTTTTACGGTGGTCAAAACAAACTTTTTGGTGCTTTACTGCCACCTCTCGCTCTGGTCGGTGACGTCGCTAACCAATTAGGCTAACAAAAGAAACTGATGTGATGGAAAGAGGACTGAGAGAAAGAAGGTCATATATACAGTTGAAGTCAGAATTATTAACCCCCCTGAATTTTTAGCCCTCCAGTTAATTTTTTTCCCCAATTTCTGTTTAACAGAGGGAAGATTTTTTTCAACACATTTCTAAACATAATAGTTTTAATAACTAATTTCTTATAACTGATTTATTTTATCTTTGCCATGATGACAGTAAATAATATTTTACTCAATATAGCTTAAAGGGACATTTAAAGGCTAGACTAGGTTAATTAGGTTAACTAGGCAGGTTAGGATAACTAGGCAAGTTATTGTAAAATTATGGTTTGTTCTGTAGACTATGGAAAAATAAATAGCTTAAACGGGCTAATAATTTTGACCTTAAAATGGTTTTGAAAAAAATTAAAAACTGCTTTTACTCCAGCCAAAGTAAAATAAATAAGACTTTCTCCAGAAAAAAAATATTATCAGAAATAATGTGAAAATGTCCTTGCTTTGTTAAACATCATTTGGGAAAAAATAAATAAATCAAAGGGGGGCTAATAATTCTGACTTCAACTGTATATAGTTTACTGTAGTTAAGGCTAAAGTATACTATGGATAAATGATAAATACTGATGATACTACTTTATGTAGTGTAATTTATTAATAAAGAGTTGCAATTCTATAATTTGTTTCTTTTTAGTACAGCATATAATTTACAGTAAATAACTGAACCGAACATTTTTATTATTTTTTATAAGGTTTTATAAGGTTATAAGGTCAAATAGTTTTGTGGTGGCTGTACTTTAAAATTAAATTAATATAATCTTAATTCAAGTGATGAAAAATTTTGAAATCTAATGCAACACTGCTGTCAAGTCACTGATATAGTATAACATGTAGTATAGTATGATATAGTATAACATGATGTAAGAAACACAACAATTTGTCCAGAAAGAATATTTTTTTTCTTAATTCAGTGTTGTACAAACCTGATAGTTCCAGCAGATAGGTGCCCATAAGATCCACTGTTAGATGAGCTAGAGCGAGAATTATTAAGGATAGTGACTAAAGAGTTGGGAGAGGTGCGAATCATGGCCTGTAAGTCAAAACTGGGGTCAGACAAGGAAGGGGAGTTGGGGATGGGTCTTTTCCTGCTGGGCCGGTTTATCAGCCTAGGACTAGGAAATCTCGAACCTGAGAAAACAAAAATAAAATGACACAAGAAGATTATTGTTAAGCTAAATTTGTTTTTAATATCTATAATTTGATGCATTTTTCAGAAATTTGTTTATGCAATTAATTTTGAACCACACAGAAAACTTTACTGACCAAGCACATTTTAAATCAAATTGATTCATCATGGACCATGTATTTATAATGACCACCTTTCCTGCATTCCATGTATTTAACACTCACATTAACATAACTGTGGTTGCTATTTGGCAGCATCACAGCAATATTGAATCATGTTTAATTAGGATGAATAGCATGTTAGCGTTGAATGGAACTGCACTGAGTTGTTTTTGAAAAGCTTTTACTAGAAAGCAGTTCAAAGGCAGACAGGCCCTCAACTCACACACAATGACTGGCACCTACAGATTAAGAAATGACTTTTGTTGTCTTTTCACTGGCGGATGTCACAAACATGAAAAAAAGAAGAGAAAAATGGAGAGAGAACTGAGAAGGAGGAGGGGAAGAGAAGGGTGCGCGTGGATGAAATGGTGGTCTTTTGTTGTGTGGAGTGACACAATGACTTTATGACTCATATTTTTTCTTTCTTTCAGTTGTTTTGTACTTTTTTTAACAGAAAGCAAACAAAACAAGATTACACTCATTTCTTTCTTTCTTTCTCTCCCTCTCTCTCTCTTTCTTGTTTGACACATTCAGTGATTACAGGGTCTGTCATTCAAATTTAAATCAGCGTGTGTGTTTGTGTGTATATTCCCACATTTGGAACATCTTTCACATTGTTGATATTCTGCTTAGAAGTGCGATTTAAGTCTTAGAATAGTTGTGATGTGGTACAACGTAAACAGGGACAATCACAAGCCTGTGTAGCCATACACACATTATTACATAGATAGATGAACATTATGCATGCATATAACACAAATCCTGAACTCCAAGATTTCCTTAACTGGTTTTAAATCAGCAATTATGTTTATGGCATGCTTGTCTATAGCTCAGCAGAATTAATTAAAAACATATTAATTTAAATATATTGTATGATTATTTATAGCATTTATTATTCACTTCTCAGATATTTAAACAGAAATATCTGCCGTAGTTTCTTTTAAATGTACAGATCATCATAAAACAAAGTGTAAATAATTATTTTCATTATCTTTATATTGTACTTATCTTTTTTTATCTACTAACTCAAATGAGAAAGTTAAAATATTGGTGCTTAAATGAAGCAACGATAAATTGACGATTCTATTAATATCAACATTGTATGGTAACATAGCATAACCTATTTAATGTTTTTGAGTGATATTGTATTGTATGCCCTGTGGTGCATGGGGCCTCTGCTTCTTTAGGAGATTCTGGCGCAGGACATTACATGGCATTCACAAACCACATTTAATATGTTTGTGCTATAAAAACACAAGTTACAGGAGTGGAATTTGGGGACAAAAAAAAAAAAAAACTTTTATTTTTTGAGCAGGTTTCTGCATGCTGCACAGAAACTGTAATAGGAAGCCCCAAAAAAGAACAGGGGTTTCAAACTAAAATTTGAGAACCTTTCAAGCACTTTCCAGGTGAATTTTCTAACTTTTCCAGTACTTTGATATAAGCAAGTACATATTTATATGCTTATTCATACTTCATTACATTATATCAGATGCTATTTATTGTATTATTCTATAATATACAATTTTATTCTAGGGACAGTTTTGACTTTCATTTACTCTCTTATATGTAATTTATTCACATCTAAATGTGACTTTCATGTATCTGTCATCTTAAAAAAAAAATACATAAATGATTATGAAAGCAACATAATTACCTTTTCAAACAGTTTAAAGCACTTTATTCAAAATCTAAGCACTTTTTAAACCTTGGAAACAATAGACTAAAATGCAAGCATTTTCAAGAACTTTGAACAGAGAACATTTAAAATGTCAGAAGAACACATGATCCAAACATATTGTTTGCCAAGCTTGTTATTTTGATTTGCAAGACTTGAAACCCACAACTATATAAAAGTCACACAATTGGCCATGAGGATTACCAAATTTTTGCAACCCTTAATTTTTTGTCCTCCAGTTCTTTTCAGTGTACTGTGGCTTCTTTAGCTGAAACTTAATGGTCTGCATTTTGACCTAAATTATCAGTAGTCTTAAAGTCACTGATTAAAATTGTGAAGACACACGTAATTTGTGACATGTCCTAAACATTGGTGTTCCATCATGCAAGGAGGGCTATAGCCCTATCAGAATTTTGAAAAAAAGCCTATTTAGGATGACCATATGCCCTGTTTTTCTTTCATATTTAGTGTCTCAAAAAATAATCTAGCTCATAGCAGAACAATTTTCCCTCTATTCACAATTTGTTATCAATTAATGTGCAGTAAGATTAGCCAGGATGAGAAATCATGCAGAATCCACTTGTCCATGCAACCCTAGTTTTCTCAGTCAGCATTTGATCAGTTCTCGTTGTACCTGAACTGTCAAGTATACAAATAATTGACGTTTTGTTAGAAATTTCATTGCACTTGAAATGGTACTGTTCAGGAATTGCACTTTCTCTTTGCCCTGTTTAGTAAATCTAGTCCTAAGTGTTGCATTCATATTCTGTGTCATCTTATTCTTTTAGTCTATTTTTACAACTAAGTGTAGCCTACTGACTTGGGTCCTTAGCACCAAAGCCTGTTAAGCCACATCAAGTGTAGTTATTTATTTGCTTTTAATTTATATATATTTTTTAGTTTTGGTTGTTCTGCTTTTAAAAATTTAGGATATGCCAAGATTCTGGCTGTTACAAAGTGAAACAGGTGGTATGATGCACAGTCCCACTGTTACTCATGTATAGAGTTCACAGTATTAGGAATAAAAGAAGGACTGGAGTGCCAGTACCAGGATTGGGTGTTCATTGCTGAGCCTCCTTAGCTGTCGGTTCAAGTCAGTAACAAATGAGTGCAGCAAACCAACACCTCAGTAAAATGATCTCAGGGGGGTTCCTTGACTTTGGCAGATTAAATAGTCTCTAGACACGATTTGGCTTTAAATTATTAGAGCCATCATGAAAATGGGGGTGAACACACCCCCTCCAAAAAAAAAAAGAAAAAAAAAGAAAAGAAAATGTTGGTAAAGATTTTTTTTTTCATTTGTCTTTCACAAAGTACTTACAATTAACTGGACTTACAAAGGGAGGGACATACAAAGCCCAGACCTCTTGTAACTTTAATTGAACAATACTGGTCTGTGCAGTGACCCGTATGTTTACTTACCAGATTTCCTACATCCTGAAAGCTGACAGTAAAAGGGACTAAACATAAGAAATTGCAAGCTACTTAAGATGGTTGAACATCATTTTACAAAAACTGTGAAAATAATTTGTATGGTAACAAAATGTGGCCACACTTCACTTTCACTTCCATGTTGCTTAATGCAGATGCAAAGTTCAATCAACTTTGCCTTATTACAAGATAATGTGCACACAATAAATTTAGACACATACTGTAAGACAGGTTCATTTTTTTTTGTCTATTATTATCTAAAAGTAATTACAATGGTGTGAACTGAGTTCTTAAGTACAACCGTGCAATTCCACCCCCAATATTAACAAACTATACTAGATAACCTAGCTATCTTCATTCACTACCCTTCTTAGAGTCTAAATATCATAAAAGAAAGCTTTTAAGTGTTAATTTAGCTGGCGTGGAACACACATTGCTAAAACAAGATGAGTAATTACCCAGGGCTGATCACAGGCGATTTGAAGTAGGGGGGATGAAAATGTCTCCATTTGAAATGGCCTTAATTATTTTGTTTTAGTCCATTAATCTTGAACAGTGCAACAGAAGAAAGGATTTCTCTGGTGATGAATAGCGGGACATTCCAATTCATACTTAATAGCAATTAATTTTCTGATACCCATGCAAGTTTGGCTAGTTTTAATTAGTTTGTGAGGAACATGAGAGTGGCAAAGCCAGTGACAGGCTGACGAAATCCATTTGCATCAAAGACTAACAAGCAAGTCCATCTGACCTCTCTTTGAATTTCCTATTTCCACTTGAAAATAACTCATTTGCATACATCTCACCTACCCTCCTTTTTTTAATAAGATGAGAGATCAATTTAAAAAGTTTAACTATGTAGAACTGCCTGGGGGTTGGAGGAATGTGGGTATGGATGATGGAGGTTGACCATTTACTGCCTTTTAAAAAGTAAATAAAAAAAAAACTAATAATCAAAACTCTTACTTTTGAATTGCTTTTTTATGTATTTTGGGTATTCAGGCTGAAGCTACCTTGGTGTATGTGATAGGTAGACCCTATTACATACACCAAGAATGCATGCAACACTTAAATTAAAAACTGAGTGAAGAGAGTGAAGAACCTACTTTCCATAGCCTGCAGGTACTCCATATGCAGGGCACTGCTTGCAGGCCCTGTTGTGGACCCCACTGAGGGAATGAGGTCAGCGTAGGGACTGCGGTGACCAGCAAGCAGGGCCATTTGGTGGTAGTACTCTGCTGTGGTTAAACCAGTGTGATGTGCTGAGAGGTCAGAAAAGAAAGAAAGAACATACGTATATCAGTTATTGATATACAGATAAACATTCAGAAATTATGCATTAAATTGAACAGAAAATGTAGTAAAATAAAAAAGAAGCTTTTTTTATTCATCAAATAATCCAGCAAAACAGACATTGTAGGTTTCTAAAAAAATCTACTTTGTTGTTATCACATATAGGGAAAGACCAGGGATAGATGTAACAGGATGGGTGTAACACTTCAGCAACTTAAAAGTTAAGAGATGGTGCTTAAACAATATAAATTGAAATAATGAAATCGCCTCACAGCAAAAAGGTTGCTGGTTCAAGCCTCGGCCTGGTCAGTTGGCATTTTTGTGTGGAGTTTTTATGCCCCCCTATGAAAATTGCTCAGATGGAGTGTTATAGGACATGATTCTCTCTCTCTTTCTTTCTCTCAAAAGAGCTTAATAATGATATGAGATGTGAATATTTGCTATACAGGGGTCGCACGGTGGCACAGCGGGTAGCGCTGTTGCCTCACAGCAAGAAGATTGCTGGTTCGAGAGTCGGCTGGGTCAGTTGGCATTTCTGTGTGGAGTTTGCATGTCGCATGGGTTTCCTCCGGGTGCTCTAGTTTCCCCGAAAAATCCAAAGACATGCGCTATAAGTGAACTGGGTAAGCTAAATTGTGTATATGTGTGTGTGTTTGTGTGTTTGTGTGTGTGTGTGTGTGTGTGTGTGTGTGTGTGTGTGTGTGTGTGTGTGTGTGTGTGTGTGTGTGTGTGTGTGTGTGTGTGTGTGTGTGTTCATTATCCGCTGCATAAAACATATTCTGGATCAGTTGTGGTGACCCCTGATTAATAAAGGGACTAAGCCAAAAAGAAAACTAATAAATATTTGCTATATATATGTTTCTTTTTCAGCACAATGAAACCAGGTTGCCTGGTAAAATCATGTGTGAGATTTAAAAGCCTACATGGTAAACTGTCATTCCCTGAAGACACAGTCATGCATATCACACAGAGATGATTGTTCAATGAGTTTATCTTCCTGATAACAGGAAGATAAACTCAACATATGGGCTAGTATAACCACACACATCTCATGAATTCAAGTTGACAGATCGCAAACACTTTTTAAAACGTTCAAAAATGATAGGAAGCTTGTAAGTCATTTGACATAGCTCACAATTTATTCTCACACCGTACGAGCCATGGCAATAATAGCACCAACAATTTCCATATGACTTCTCCTGATGGAAACAAAATCTATAATGAGCTCATACAACATCAACAATTGCACTGTGTATGCCACCACTGTTTGGGGAAAAAAAGCCCAAAAAAGGTTGGATTAAGTGTTTGACCTCTCCTCTGTGGCTCCTCCAAAAGAATGAAAACTATAATGGCAACCACATTGAAGTGTTGTTCCAAAGTGAAGTGCAAAAAAACGAGTCACTTTAAAGGGCCCTTTAGAATCAAAGATTTCAAAGGACACAATTCATGGACACTTTGGGCCACCATGATCCTTTGTGCAAGGAAGTTGACTGTCGCACACAGTGTTCCATTTGGAAAGGCTCATCCCTGTGCTCTAATCCCTTTGAAGCAGTCACTTCGGAGTGTAAACCCTTTGAAGTGATTCGGGCATAGGAATGAGCACTTCCAAAAGGAACGCAATAATCGTGTTCAGATGTTAAATCTGATGCACAGTTGAACATTTTATTCAGCTTTGTAGAACAGAGATATACAGCCATTTTACTTAAGTGAGTGTTATAGGGGAAAAAAAAAAAAAAAAAAACTTCCAAATGGATTTTTGTCATAATCTTTATTTGAAACCCTTACTGTTCTGTTTCTTCTTAATTACTCATTTTGTTAACGCTTTATAATAGCTGCCCACTGTGAATCATTTATTAATTATTAGAAAATAGTCAATTAATCATTTGTTAAGTATTAAATCTAACTGAATAAACATTATGCAGTTTATAACTATACAGCTGCAAATGCTGTATTTGTCACCATCCTGCAGTTTGTCTCCATTCCCCTAGAGGTCCCCGTGTTTCCCCTCTGTATTTGTTCTTCCTCATGTGTTCTTGTTTACTTAATTTAGATCACCTGTGACTTGTTCCAGCCAGTGTATTTAAGTTGTCACTTTGTCTGTGTTCCTCACTCGGTGTTTGAGTCATCTCTGGTGAACTTGCCTTGCGTTTCCCTTGATCTCCTGAGCTACATCTAGTAAGAGTGTTTTATTTTCCTTGTTGCTGACTGCATTAATTATCTGTTTGTTTTCTCCCCTCGTGGAGTTTTCTTTACATGTTTATTATACTGTTAGAGTATTTTGTATACCTCATTCTGAGAAGAACCTAAGTTGTCTGTTTTGCTACCTCATTTTTGAGAAGAACCTAAGTTGATATTTTTTTTAATAAATCCTTGTTTTCCGGAATCCCTCTTGGAGTGTTTTCGTTTGGGTCCAACACAACTTCCTCTGTGGCTTAGTGGTATACACATCGGTTTCCACACCAGAGACCCGGGTTCAAGACCCGGTCGTGACAGAAACACCGAGTCAGACATGGACCCAGAGGCACTCAGTACCAAAGAACTGTTGGCAGTGATTGGCAGTCATGAAGCTTCGTTCCAGCGTCATGAAGAGGTTCTCCGTCGTCAAGAGGAGGTGATGACAAAACACTCAGAGCTCCTTGCTGATGTCACGTCGTCCATTCGGCAACTCTTTCAAAGCCTTCCTGGGGTTTCTTCTCCTGCTTCTCCTGCTGCACCACCCCTAAGTACCAACAGTCCTCCCATAGCTCCAGTAGCTGCTGCAGAGCCCAGACTTCCACCCCCCAAGCCATTCTCTGGAGATCCTAGTTCCTGTCAGGGATTTCTCACCCAGTGCTCTCTCACTTTTGAGCTTCAGCCCTCAAGTTTTCCCACTGACCGCTCAAAGATCGCTTATATTATCACCCTTCTGACTGACAAGGCATTGTCTTGGGCCTCTGCGGCATGGGAGTCCCAGCCTAGTTATTGCCAGTCATACACAGCCTTTGAGAAGGAATTCAAGAAGGTGTTCAATCACCCAGTTAGTGGACAGGAGGCTTCCAAACGTCTCCTTACTCTCCGTCAAGGTCCTCGCAGCGCTGCAGACTTCGCCATTGAATTTCGAACTATTGCAGCAGGTAGTGGATGGAATGACGAGGCCTTAAGAGTCTGCTTTCTGGGCGGATTAGCTGAATCCATTCAAGATGAGATGGCCACCCGGGAACCAGCCAAAGACCTAGAATCCCTTATTGATATGGCCATTCGCCTTGATATTCGCTTGAGAGAACGGAGAATGACTCGAGGCAGAGCATCCCATTCCCAAACTCCTGTTCACAAACCTGCATCTCCAGTTCATGCGCCACCAGTCAGACTTCTCCCAGTCAATGAACAAGCTCCCGAGCCTCCAGAAGATATGCAGCTAGGTCGTTCCAGACTCTCTCCCAGTGAAAGGGACAGACGGATGAGGGAGCGACGATGCCTTTACTGTGGTATGTCTGGTCATTTTCGATCCACTTGTCCAGAACTATCGGGAAACGAGGGTCCCCACCGAGTTACAGGAGGACTGTGATGGGGAAAATAAGAGTTCCTCCTGCCAACACCGTTCTAGCTCTCAAAGCTATTTTGTCCTGGGAGAGTCATCAGTTCCCAGTCCAGGCAATGATCGATTCAGGGGCCGCAGGTAATTTCATAGATCTCTCCTTGGCCAAGAAACTTAAGATTCCTACCCACCTTCTCCCTCATCCCCAGTCAGTAACTGCTTTGGATGGTAGACCCCTTGAACCCGGCAAAGTAACTGAGGCCACTCAGTCCCTGAAGCTTACCATTGCTAAACATCAGCAGGAGGAGACTTTCTACCTTATTGACTCTCCCGAGTATCCGGTCATTCTAGGTCATCCCTGGTTGCACAGACATAATCCCCATATCAACTGGTCTACTGGTTCCATTCTAGATTGGAGTCCTTCATGTCACTTCACCTGTTTTATCCATAGCCTCTCTGCCCCTCATCCCGAGCCTCAAGATTCTGTAGATCTGTCTCAAGTTCCCGCTGTCTATCATAAGTTTAGGGCAGTATTCAGTAAGTCTCGAGCCACCTCTTTGCCACCTCACCGCCCATACGACTGTGCAATTGACCTTCTCCCCGGTTCCTCTCCTCCTAGAGGCAGAGTCTTCTCCCTATCTCCCCCTGAACAGGCTGCTATGAATGCTTACATCCAAGAGTCCCTGGCAACTGGCATCATCCGAGCCTCCACTTCCCCTGCTGGTGCTGGCTTCTTCTTTGTGGGGAAGAAGGATGGGGGGCTTAGGCCTTGTATCGATTACCGAGGTCTTAACAAGATAACCATTCGGAATCGATATCCCCTGCCTCTTATGGCTACTGCCTTTGAGCTGCTGCAGGGAGCTTCCATTTTTACCAAGCTCGACCTTCGCAATGCCTACCATCTGGTGCGGATACGGCAAGGAGATGAATGGAAGACTGCTTTTAACACCCCCACAGGCCACTATGAATACCTGGTGATGCCTTTCGGCCTTACCAATGCCCCTGCCGTGTTCCAGGCACTTATCAACGACGTCCTCCGAGACATGTTAAATATATTTGTATTCGTTTATCTGGACGATATACTTATATTTTCCAAGTCCATGGAGGAGCACGAGGGCCATGTCAGCAGGGTTCTCCAAAGACTCCTTGAAAACCATCTCTTTGTCAAGCCAGAAAAATGTGAGTTTCATGTTTCCCTGACTAAGTTTCTTGGGTACATTGTCACCCCTGGTCACCTGGAGATGGACCCTAGTAAGATTAAAGCTGTTCTCAACTGGCCTATTCCAACCACAGTAAAAGAGGTGCAACGGTTTGTGGGCTTTGCAAACTTTTACAGGAAGTTTATCAGGAATTTCAGCTCAGTTGTGGCTCCCTTGACAGCACTGACAAAGGGAGGAGGAGTCAAGATTGAATGGGGTCCTAAAGCAGCGGCTGCCTTCCAGGATCTCAAGGATC